CATCACTTGCAGCCTGTACAGTAACTTTCAGCTGGAATTTAACAAAACAACAACAGCACAAACGCGTCAAGCGGCAAACTGAGGGTGTTTCTTAACCCACAGAGGGTGCTTCTTAATCCACGTAAGTTTCATCCAATCCACGTCGAGTGCCTTCTGGAATGCACCGAGGGACTTGTAGGCTTCTGGAGGTAAAGAAAGCTCATTCCACAACGTCGCAAGTTGCTCCACGTGCGTCGTGCGATCCATGGACAGCAGTTACGGTAGTGCCGCATACCGATGTTGGAGCCGGCATTATTGGGTGAGGATGGAGAGTCATATAAACGCAGTGACGAGTACTACCTGCAACAGAATCAAGCGCAGCAGCCGAACCGACAAACTTTACAAAACAAAAGTTACCTAGCGGGACTTTAAAAAACCATAATTTATACACAAAAACTAGCGCTTTCTTTACACGGCGTAACTTGAGGCTATCCCACTTTAGTTCCTTTAAGCGTTTTTCGTAATCCAACAAATCACTTCCGAGACAAATGCTTTTCAGAAAGCGAACCTGGCATTTCTCAATCATATCACTAGACATTATCAATACTGGGAGGACACAGGAAGCGCAGTAATCGATTACCGGTAAGACTAAAGATTCAAACAGTCGGATTTTAGCGCCAGAATGAAAAAACCTAAATAATCGATTAATGTACATAATTCTTCGGTTGCATTTGGAGAACACTTTTTCGCAGTTTTCTTTCCAGCTCAGTTTACGATCAACGTGAACACCTAAATATTTGACAACATCACTTTTCTGAACATTACTGCCATTTATGTAGTAATTATTACAGCTCAAAATTGCAAAACAAACATGCACTGATTTCTGTGCGTTCAAGGACAGACAGTTTGCTTTTAACCAGTCATTAACACTATCAATATCCTCTTGCAGTAATTTGCAGTCATTGTTATTAATTACTGGGCGCAAAATTACTATATCATCAGCAAACACAAAGATATATTATATATATATATATATATGTACAGATATATATATATAATTTCACAAATCTTATAATGACCTTTTTTGAAAATAATTTAAACAGATTTGCAAAACAAAAACCGAAAGACTAAGTAATGGTAAATTTATTACAAAAGGCAGCAATGTTATTAAAGTGAACTAAACGGGGCGCTGATTCTCTCCACGTGTCGCCGGTGGAGCACAGGTTGACGACGTCAGTTTGCGCTCTACGACGTCAGTCTCCGCTCCACCGGCTTCGTGGATTTGACTTGACGCTGATCCCGAGGACGCTGAGGATAAAGGTATCCGAACCTTAAGGTCGTCGGATGGCATAGCTTTGTCCCGAGACCGTGTCGCCACGGGGCATAACTACACCATCTTATGGCCTTTAAAAGGACGTGTCGTCGCCGAACTCCGCTGACATCTGCCCGGCTGATTCGATGGGATGGAATCCTTCGGTCTTGATAACAGAAAGACAAGCTATTGGAATAGACGATAGACTACCAAAATTTATTTTGACGGGTCATGGCCTCCTGGCCGAAGGGATCCCGCCGCATTCGGCAAGATGACCTGATAATTCTGACGCAGCGGCGTGAAATTTATAAGGTCGACATTCCGATTGTACATCATGGCCGCCATTACTATATCCTCCACTATAACCACTATAACAGGTGAGCCGGTTATAAATTTAAGTTACAACGCCGTTTGCAGCCTTTCACTCCATTAACAAAAAATCAGAAAATTATTTGCTAAATAAATTTGAAAACTAGTCCGAAAACTGCTGGAAAATTTTCAAATATTAAAAAATAACGCTGGATTATTTAGAAATTTTCGAATATTTTAGAATTTCCTTTTTTGATATCTTGCAAAATTCGGAAATCACATACGTAATTCAAAGATATTGTATGTACATATGACGAAACAACAAATATTCCTCGGATTATTTCCATTGCCATTATTTTTCGATAATTTCTTACAATTGCTTTATTATTTTGTTGCTTTAAAGCTTAATTCCAAAACTGGTAGAAAAACTGAAACGTTGTTGGGAAACACGAATGATTTTCAATAAAGCAGAAAATAACTCGGAAATCAAATAAATTCAAAAGCCGTATACTTTACTGAATTGGCTTAAAATTTTTTGAATTAAATTATTTAATTGGCTTTACTTTGACATGCATTACCCATTGAAATGTTAAAACTAACACGAACATTTGGAAAGTAAACTGCAAACCTGCATAGAAATTTATGAACTTATTCAAAAATATAAAGAACTCCAGTTAAAAACCCTAAAATACAATTTTATTTAAAATTTATTTGATAATTCTTTGGAAATCAGTTTGGAAAATCGTAAATTTAGTTTCGAATTATTTCTTTAATTAAACTGGTAATTATTTTGGAACTGCAGAAATAATTCTCAAGTTTTTTTCAGAGATTCGGAAACCTACCTGGAAAATTAATTTAAAATTCTTTTGGAAATTATTTTGACTCATAATTCATAAGAATTTTTAATTCATATTACTTTGACTCATAACTCATAAGAATTTTTGTCAGTAATCTGGATTTTCTTCCGGATTCAGGAAATTACAAATCAATTTGGAAATTAGACTGAAAAATATTTCTCGAAAGTAAGTTTATCGAATAAATTGTAGTGCGAATGGTTGGGTAAGAGGTAGTGAAAGGTCGCAAACAAAGTGGCTTACTTTTAAATTTTATTACTCTATACTCTCATGAAAACAACAGAGATGAAATTAGGTTTCTTTACGGTACTTTACGTAGTACTTACGACTAACTTCCGGCCCTGTCGCATAGTGGCTTCAATTACGGGAATGTAGAAGAGTCTATTATACTGTAAGACGACAGAGAAATCGAAACAGCGAACTGCAAAATGATGAAGTGGCAAAATATTGCGGACTAAATCCGAAAATAGGCAGGCCAGCTCGAATGATGGTATAAGTTCGGATCGGCAAGTTTCCTGGCAACTGTAGCACTGAAAGTATTAAGCAGAAATTCTCAGTTCATGAGCATGTGTGGCAGTCGTGTGATCAGCGTGACTGGAAAAACAGAACCCGTTTTAGCCTTTAGGTACATAGTACTTACTTATCTTTTTCAATCTCTGTCCTCTCGTTCTGTTGCACATCCGCTAGCCGGCTATGGCCGCTTTCGAATTTTGAACCGGTAAAATGTTCGCAGCACACACACGCTTAGGTGCCATCCATAAATTACGTAACGCCAAAATTCACGGCTTTGAATATATGTATCCTCAGTGCAAAATGCAAACTGCAAACAAAACTGAGGTACCCGCCCGCAAGCGTTTCGTAATTAAATCGAAAACCTTCTATAGTTGTAAACTTATAGCGTTGTCACTGTTGTAACGTCATAATTGAAAACATTTCTAACGCCCTTTGTCACAAATAGTGCCGTTTAGAAAAACTCCCCCTTCTTCCTATTTCCGCTTGTGTAACCGTTCGCATCCAGACCCTTTTATTATTGATAAACCAAACTACCAGATACGCGCGTGTGGCGGGTGAGATTCGCTTCAAAGGATAACTTCGAACTAAACTTTGTTCGAAGCAAAAATGCACGAAAAATCTCACATGGCAACCTCCGATTGCACTTTAGCGACAATAACTGCCATTAAATATGTACCTGTATGACACTACCCGGTAGTTTCTATACTGTACTCTAACCGTAAGTGTTACGCCACTGTGAAAATTATTTCGCGTAACCTTATACCAGGCAGAACTCACGTCGCAGCAGGGGAAAAACAGAGCGCGGATACATGCCGGTTGGTCGCGGTAGTACTGGTTAAGTTTATTAGCGGGAACGACACCCATCGGTGCAATCTTCCCGCACTTCAAAATTTTTTCTCTGACTATTTTTAATGAATTTTTTAGGCAGCCTTCAAAGGTGCATATTTGTATAGCATGGAAAACGGCTCCCTTGCACTATGGATACGTACACATTAAAAGCGGAAAGTGTAGTAGATTATTACGGACAAAAAGGTTAAGCGGAAGAAATTCAGATAATAATTATTATCCGATCTTTCCGAAGCTTTGCTGCAAAGTGCATTGCACATCTGAATTCCTGTACATACGGAGTACATGTTTACAGAATTACACAAATTTTATAATGAATTAATGTAAAAATAATTTGAACAGATATGCAAGAAAAAACACATAAAAGCTAATCAATGGTAAATCTATTACAGAAGGCACCTCTTGTCATAAACTGTAAAAATGGGCCCTGAATCACCCCACGAAGCCGGTGGAGTTGACTTGACGCTGATCCCGAGGATGGTGAGGATTAGGGTATCCAATCCTAATGGCCGTTGGATGGAGTACTGTGAAGTATCTAATATATATGTATTTATTAAATGTATACGCCAGCTTGGCTGATGATAGAATGAATAATTATGTAAACATAAGAAAACAGGAGGTAAACTCACATCTAATGCAACGTAGCTAAGCACATATTAGTACTACTCGAAACGCACTTTAAATGCGTTCTGTAAGATACAGAGCCGGGATTTCTGTAAAAGTGAATCTACCAATGGTACAGCGCGCGCTGAATCTTATAAAGCGTTGCAGAGCAACGAGACCACGGACTCTAACAGCGCCCAGCAGTGTTGGCCCGTTTTTTAACGGGACCGGAAACTAACGGAAAATTCTCCCGTTCCGTTGCCCGTTCCCGTAGAATTACGGGAACGGGACACACGCTTTACGGAACGGGCCGGGCCGGGAATTGGATGAGCGATCTTACGGGAAAAATCCCGTTTCCGTTTCCGTTTGATAAAAAAACACAAAATAAATAAAATTAATTTTTGCGTTTTGTACTAGCGTGTTGTTTACCACTTGTACATAGTACATACTAATTAATCGCTTACCATCACAGTTAAGTTGGAAATGGTAAATGGCAGTTTGGCAGAATGCTAACAGTGACTTACTTATTATACACTTGCACAGTACACAGTAAGCGCTAAGCAGTGGTTGAAATGGATCTCACATCTCTTAACGTCATTTCGTAATAACACGCTGCTGCAGCTTAAACCAGTGCAAATTTATACAGTATTAATTTGAAGAAAAGTTCTGCAATTCTGAATGTGTACACCAAAAATGCTGAATTCGCATGCGTGATTTGATTCTGGAGTTGTACGGCATCTGAGATCTGTGTTCCCATCGAAAGCGAGTAGCCAGTTAGCGATGGCGTCCGTGGCCGTGGATTCGGACGACGAGGACGTGCAAATGTTGCCGCCGAGCCCCTGCGAAAAGCATGGTTTACCGTGAACAGAAAGTCATCAAGTAACGGAAGCTTTAGGTATATGTACCTCATCTTTCTGGTGATGCCGGTCGATGTGGTCTTTGAACGGCTTAAAAGTATCCGAGCCAGTAACTTTCACGGGTTTCTTGGTGCAGAATTTGCAGATGCCTTCACATATGTTGTACGTACGGCCTCCGGAGCCTCTGACTTCTTTCGATTCCTTTCGGTCCTTAAAAAACTCGAAGAAATACTTTTTCCCTGAAATTTTGGGAGTACAGATCGCGTTGGGTGTAGAGATATGTGCAGTACATCATGATGATTAAAATTGTGACGGTGAAGATTTGACGCTGGCCCATAGACATATGCTATAACTTAAATTTTCAAAAATTCATAACTTTGTTAATTTTCGCGTTAATGTTTTGTGAGTATGCTTTAAAATATAGAATAATATCTACTATTAGGCAAAACGATTTTTTCTGTTTCCGTCTTAAGGTTTGGCACTGAGAGCATACGTGGTTAACATAGCCGCCTACGAGAAATCTTTAAATCAAATTAAATGACTTCTCCATAGACAGCCATGCTAATTACGTAGGCACATAGTGCGCAACCCTAAAATAAAAATCGAAAAAAACATTTGTTATGCCTACTAGTATATATTATTCTGTATTTTTAAAGCATATTCAAAAAACATTAACGCGAAAATTAACAAAGTTATGAATTTTGAAAATTTGAGTTATAGCATATGTGTCTATAACAGCGTCAAATCTTCACCGTCACGAATTTTATTGCGCAATCATGATGTGGTGCACTGGCATATCTCTGTACACGTTTCGGTCGTGCTACTCGGTGCAGTAAGCGGAGACATAGGACTGGGTGATTTGGGATTACTTTTTGGTCTTCGACGAGTTATATTAGTGCATTTATTATTCTATTTCTGCATATTGTTTTTCGTAGTCTGTGCTCCGAGCTTTATCAAACCTCAACTCACCTGCTGCCAACAGAGTGGATCCCAGCCGACTCTTGAAATGTTTGCACCGGAGATTAAGAAAGTGGAACTGTACCATAAAAATCACGTTAAGCAGGTCAAGCTGAAAGAAACGGTGGCCGAAATACTCGTCGAGACGCTTATGTCAGCGAATGCGCTAACTCATCCGTTATTCGACAAAGCTATCAAGATTGGCGATTCGAAATTAAAGGTAAATTCTGTCCTTAACTACGAGCAACACAAAAATAAAGCTCAGTTGATAAAAATGCTGAATCGTAAGACATAAGTACTTCTCAACACGGCAAAATCGCAATACTGTACATACGCAACGTTGCAGGATACTATCTTCTGAGAAGTTGACAGGTTGTATTGTTATTTTAGTGGCCCCATCGTCGGCTTTTGATACGAAAACTCATTCCGGATATGGAAAAAAGCGTGAAGGAAAAAATTAAGAAGTTACTATCGAAAGCCACATCTGTCGCGGTGAATGTCGACATTTGGACAAGTAAACGTACCCATGCGTATATCGCGTTCAGCGTCTCGTTCGTGGGTGAAGAATTTCAGTTGCGTAACTTTCTTCTTGGATGCCATCGGTTCGATATATATGGAACGTTTCGTACCAAAGAAAAAAACTGGAACGTTTTTTTCCTTCTTGTAGTCACTGTAGTCATCCGTAGACAACCTGTAGACTCCCTGTAGACAACCTGTATACATCCTAAGAAAACCTAAGAAACCAGGTGGCTACAGTATGTCTACAGTGGTGTCTACGGGCTGTCTACAGATGACTACCGGTGTATAAAGGCAGAGTATCGAGCTGGTGCTAAGAAGAACTATCTGTATACAGCGGTAGACATCTGTAGACAACCTGTAGACATGCTGTGGACAGCCTGTAGACAACCTGTATACATCCTAAGAAAACCTAAGAAACCTAAGAAACCAGGTGACTACAGTATGTCTACAGGGGTGTTTACGCGCTGCCTACAGTGCGTCTACAGATGTATACAGCAGAACATCCAGCTGGACCTAAGAAAGCCTGCCTGTATACACCGGTAGACGTCTGTAGACAGCCGGTAGACACCCTGTAGACAACCTGTAGACACCCTGTAAACATCCAAAAAAGCCTAAGAAACCAGGTGACTACAGTGTCTACAGTGGTGTCTACGGGCTGTCTACAGATGACTACCGGTGTATACAGGCAGAGTATCGAGCTGAACCTAAGAAGGGCTGCCTGTATACAGCGGTAGACATCCGTAGACAACCTGTAGACACCGTTGTAGACACGCGGTACTCATCCTAAGAAACCAGGGGACTACCGATAGGTCTACAGGGTGTCTACATCATGTATACAGATGTCTACTGTGACTACAAGGAGCGAAAAAACGATTCACTTTTTTTCTTTGGTACGAAACGTTCCACAGGTGGGTTCGAAGGCACGCACACCGCGCACGACATTTTCGAAATCGCTGTGGAAGTTATTGACGAATACAACCTGAAAGATCTGCTCCATTACATGGGAACCGACAACGGCGGCAACGTTGTGAACGCATTCAGCGACATCTTCCCGGGATTTATTATGCGCGAGCACGATCTTGATAGAAACCATACTTTAGAAGGTACTAACTAATGGTTTTGTTTATTAGCAAGCCATGGCGCAGTTGTTAATTTATTACTGTTTTGTTGCTGTTATTATCATAATTTATTGTCTAATTTATGAAATTTGGTAGGTGGGTGAACATGACTTTCGCAACACGTAACCGCAATATTTACTGAAGACGTTACAATAATGATTTTATTTGTAGAATTTTTTGAACAAGCGACGGAAGATGGGATGTGGTCATTTTTGGATTCGGACACGTTCGACGACATCGATCCAGAGGATCTCGATTTGACAAGCGATATCGCGAACGAAGTTGATACACTGTTGAGAAAAACTTATTGTCGGCTACAAAACCGTAAAGTAACGGTATGTGAAACGTTTCACTTTAACTTGTAATGTGACAATTTTCATGTGCAGCTTATGAAACACTAATAGTGATGCTTTGCTGGAAAAGATTAACGTTGTTGTTTTCGAAAGTTTAGCAATAAATTTAACCGAAAAATTTTCAATTGCACAAGAACGTGCATGCCACTGCATTCGGTCTGCTTTCAAGCTTTCATTTATGCTGACTGTTTTAATAAGTTATTTTTGAAGGTGCGATGCGTGGCACATACTCTGCAGTTGTGCATCAAGACGGCCATGAAAACTTCAGAAACGCTGAACAGCGTGATTGATTGTCTGTCGGGAATCGTTTCACGGGTCAAACACTCACCACTACAGCTGTCACATCTGGAAAAAGCATTTAAGGGCACTTTGGTCAGCCGTAATGAAACGCGCTGGAACTCTGTCTTTCTAATGTGCGAAAGAGCGGTAAAAGTAGACTGGAATATCGCGGGATTAGAGCCGAATAATCGTTTGAAGACTACCCACAAAGAATATCTGCGTTCCTTTGTAAAGCTGATGACGGTTTTTGAGGAAGCGTTCAAACTGCTTCAGACGGCAGAATATCCGGTTATTGGGGCGGTGATTCCGATTATCTACGGTCTGAAACATCATCTGCGCGCGTGCAAGAGCAACCCGGATTTTACTTTGTTAGGAGACTTTATACGAAAGCTGAACGACGAAATCAACTCCCGCTTTGGCGTATTGGAAACGGATGAACTCTATCTTGCTGCGACGTTTCTAGATCCGCAATATAAACTGCTTTGGTGCCGTTTAACAAGCGAGCCGGCGAAGACTGAAGAACGCGTAAGAACTTTGTTACTGAGAATGATGAACGAAGTTCCTGTGGCGAATGACAGTGCTGCTGCTGCTGGTAAGAATTCGTGAAATTATAGCAAAACACAACCGAATAGTTTTTCTTTATTTTTTATTATAATTTGATGTTTTCATATAGAGAATTGAAATTTTGAACGTCCGGGTTGGCTGTTGTTCCTTGATGATTCTGCTGCTAGTACTCGAACCGGCTTGACGCGGATGACTTGTGAAGCGGAGTTAGAAAACTATTTATCGTCTAAATGGATGGGGAAAAATCCGCTGAGTTTTTACGGAGGAGAGGAAGGGAAGAAATTTCCACGACTGTCAGTATTAGCGAAGCAGATCTTATGCGCACCAGCCACCACGGCGGATGTGGAACGAGTATTTAGCGTGGCTGGTTTAATTCTGAGTAACCGAAGATTGAAGATGGGTGATAGAAACTTTGAACGGCTGCTGTTTTGTAGCGTCAATCGTAGTCGCGTTAGTGGTGATATTGCGAAGCGTAAACGCAAACTTTCTGGTGTAGAGTGAACGGTACATGCGAGAAATAATTAAAGTTTGTGCAACGAAATGAATCAGTTAAGACTTTGCTTAAGATAGCGAAAAACACTTGCCCGTCGGACGACGGGCCGGGAAACGGGAACGTTTTGGCCAAACGGGACGGGCAACGGTACGGGAGGGCTGGTTTACGGGACGGAAACGGGCGGGAGGTTGATTTTTTATAACGGGCCAACACTGGCGCCCAGTTACCGTAGTTGAATTGGTCAACGATTTATTTTTCACAACAATTTTGTGGCCGTTTCCTTTCTGTTTTTCTGGCGATTTTAAGTTTTGTTAAGTTGAAGAAATCAAACGACTGGTGAAAAAGCGAAAGGAAATTGCACGTAAAGTACGCCGAGGTGGAATTTTGCCATTCCTCGCGCTGACGGCCATGGCGAAGTTGCCTGTTGCCATCGTTACAAATTCAAACATGCACAGTCGGAGCAGCTAAAAACAGTGAACCAAGCAGAACTGAAAAGTTGATTCGATAGGACCAATTAAATTCCCATTAATTACACCCTCAAAACTTGAAAATTAAAAACAGGACTTAGACTTACAGCGGACTGTGCATCCACATCAAAAAATAAATTTAACCTAGCAAGAAATGCGAGTTCTGTATCTTAACGGAGCCAGCAGAGTTCCTTCTAGATACAGAACACTTTAACTCGGGCGTCCAATCAGCGGTAAGGGGGTGGTATCAAATCGTTACAGAATTTCCGGCTCTGTATCTTACAGAACGCATTTAAAGTGCGTTTAGAGTAGTACTATTAAGTATTACCAGTACTTACGATTAATATTACATACACTACAAGTACCCTTGTGCCGACACGACGGGATAAAGGTGCTCGATCTAACGGCCTTTAAAATGACGCGACGTCCTCGAACTTCGTTGACATCGGCTCCGGCTAGTTCGGTGTACTATAACAATTCGGATCATTCGGTCCTGACGATACGGGGACAAGCAGTTCGGATAGCCATTTGCCGGTGATTCTGAATTTCATTCGGTCCTGACGATACAGGGACATAAGTGTTGCGAATAAATTTTGTGAAAGGAAAGGAAAATTTTTAAATTTTTTGTTTTCAGTAAAAGCGCAGTCCGAGAACGGGCAAATAAGGCAACTTGACGTTTTAAAATAAGTGCTTCAAAGTACAGCGTCCTGTTTTATCCGCATGGTGTTTGGAGTGTACTTCTACAACTTCTACGTAATTTGTTTATGACACTGCATGCCCATTGTCCACCATGGTGCAGCAGAATCCAAATTACAGTATGTTCGTTTTGAAGTTGAATGTGGCGCGAATTGCATGAATCATTAAATAAGGTGGAATCCTTCATTATCTTTAAGTAACAAGGGATTTTTGAAAATTCGAACTTTTCCTCTTCGTTATATAGCGTATTAGGAGGCGGAGCTGCAGGCGACGCCGAGCTGCGGCGAGAGCGGAGCTCGCGGAGGAGCAAGCGAGACATGCATCCGATTTCTGTACAAGAAACACATAATTTCTATACATAACTACATACCATAATTTTCAGTGTATGAAGCGCTCGAAAAATGACGTTACGGGTTTCTTTGTTTAATTGTACTCGCATGCATGTTTGTCGAGTTTAGGCTTCTTCCATAAAACCCATACAGCACCTAGCAGTCTTACTTGCACTCAGGGGTTTTAATTTCTGTACGGCTTATGATCTGTCCATTGCAATAAATATTCCGCGCAATTTGCGCGGGGTCAGCTAGTATCAACTAAGAGCGCGGGAGTATTCTCGTCATAAGCATGACGTAATACTTTTTTAAATTGACATTTATCAACTGCATCCTCCACGGCAATTCCACAAGTTGATCATATTACGAATATTAATCAACTCAATTTATATACAAATTATAGTTGTTTTTTTCGTTCTTACAGAACAACGCGTTAATCTACTGCGCCTGGTATCGTTCCTGGGTCGTACAGAGTACGTCACAAGAGCGATACGAGACACAGTAAGATCTAGAAGCCGCGGACATCGTAACTTGCTACACAGGAGAGCAAGAAATCTGCTACACAGAAGGGGAACGAAACAACTGCTGCATCTGCCAAGGAGTTTGGTACATTATCCACACGAGAACAATGGTTCACTGTAAAACTTCTTGACAGTAAATGCTGTTCAGTCCAACGGATTCATCATGCGGTTAAACGTTTAATGCATCTTAATCTTTCACATGATAACAAACGGGTTTTGCGTGCGCAAACCGTTTTCACGCCAATTTATTGTACATAGTTTGGGAGTTTACTTCCATAAACATTCCCTTTTGGGTGGACACCTTTGAAGAGCGCGAGACAGCCAGCTAATTTCATGGATCGATACGGATTTCTGGCTAAATGCAATGATATTTTCGTGACGGAGAATACTCAAGGACACGGTGACAGGAACCGCTCCAGGCGAAGTAATTCTTTGGAAAGGTCAGCTGAAGACCCAGCACTAGCAAAGCCAGCATCGACCTCACCCGCGTCTGAAGCGGAGCTAAAGCGAAGAGAAGTACAGCAGCTGCTGCGTGGGTGTTTTACCGAGGATTTCCAGCCCACCCAGACGACCTTTCGGTCCGCTTTTTGCAAAGTTGTCCGGTCAAGCGGTCAGTTCCCCTCACCTGTTTGCCGTGGCTGACAATTGTTTTGCAGAGCTTAGGCCGACAAAAAGACACTTTTTGCAAATTTCCAGGGCTTTATCAGTGTCGCAACGACATTTCGCCCAATCTTGCCGTCCATTTTAATGCGCTGAGTTCTCATGGGATGTGCGCAGCTCCCGCGACGGGATGCTGCAGAAAGCCGGTGCCGCGATGGGTACGGCGTACGAAATGCGCCTACGGAGACCAGTGTTCTTCGCCTTCATGGCTCCACCCACGAAGCCCAACAGTTACCGGTACAGTCACCGCCCGTGGTAGGCGGACAAATGTGCTTGGCCATTGCTTAATATTCAACCATTTTCCTTGTCCAGTATCAAGCGCAGACATCACTGGATCGTGTGAAAATGCCAGAGAAGCGCCAAGATGATCTAGCCCTTGTGGCGCAATTTGTCGCCACGTTGCCCGGCTTTGAGGATATAAGCCCGTCTGTCAGTATGTTCGTACGTGTGCTCGGATAGCTGCTACGGGCATTCACCTAAACCATTGCTGCTGTTCGTAGTTGGATCACATGGAATACGTTTATAAGGGAGGATTTTATGGAATCATGCCGGGTCTCTAGCACATCCACGCCAACGACTACTGGTTGGAGATTCTGGGCGTGGATCCCGACGTCCGCCGGTTCTGTTGCAAAATCAGCGCTGTGTTCAACGGGATCGGGTTGACGCTGACGGACACCTATCTCCTGCTGGCCGTAGCGTTTTTTTGATCCGCGTAGATGTTATATAAAATTAGTTTTAACGTAATACATTGTTTCACTGGGAAACAGATAGCATTCCAGTCTAGCGGCTAATAATCAGCCGCTAGAGTAGACTTTATCACCGATATCTTGCGCTGACTGTGCTCGTCGTCGCATTGCCTGGCTGCATTAATGTATCCATGTTACAACGTAGACCTGTACGCTACAAACTGGATTGCCTGTCCGGCGATCCAGTTGCCTGACTGTCCGTAAACTGTAATCAACTATGATGGTGTAGAATAACGGAAATACAGGATCGTAATTACAACAGGTTTTGGGAGTAGTTTAATGACGTTCGGTCGGTCGATCGTTCGTAAGAAGTCGTTAGAATAAGATTCAATTCCGTAAAACAGTAACAGACTGCGAAGTAACATGAGCGTTTAGGTAAGGCTAACAACAGTTTATTTATTAAACCACACAAACACACAGTGCAATCATAAAATTCTTCTGATTTTCGCAAAAATTTAAAATGTGTCCAAGTTACACGCTGATGGAATTTAGAGTTCGTTAATAAGTCGGATCTGACCGAAAACAGAAAGGATGCGGGCGCGGCAGGGTTGTAGGGAATTGAATTACAACATTAAGCGATCTATATCAATAGATTCATATATCCTTACGTCCTTATTTTTTGGAAATTATCTCCTCAATCAACAGTGATTTTTTCAGTAAGTTGTTAATTTTATGAAATAGAGTATCGCACAAACGTTCCTATCTTTATCTTTAAAAGAATCTTAAGTTTTGGAGAAGGTCTAAAAAGATTTTAGAAGTTGTAGTACTTAAAGGTTGTTAGTACTTAATGGTTATTAGATTGGGAAATTATCTCCTAAATCAACATTGATTTCTTTAAAAAGTTGTTAATTTTATAAAATAGAACATCGCATAAACGTTCCTATACCTTTATCTTTAAAAGAATTTTAAGCTTTGGAGAAGGTCTAAAAACATTTTTAGAAGTTGTAGTACTTAAAGGTTGTTAATACTTAAATATTGTACTTAAAGTGTAGTGCTTAAATGTTGTTAGCTTCTAGAAAGTTCTAGATACATGGTTGTTGAAGTATATATTTGTACCTAGCAACCCATGTTTTTAAATATAGGAAAATTGCTGCTGCACGTGTAACGCAGCTTCACCTTCAAGATACAACTGGCTGGCGTTCATAAAAATTAATAACGATTTAACTTCAAGTATGCGACTGTATGCAGTAAAGCTTATTTCTTAATTAGCACTTTGAATACTAGTTATCTACATCCGTAACCACGTATACACGATTGATAATGTCGCTAATGTTTGGGCGAACGGCTGAACCGATTTTGACGCGGCCAAGTGCGCTAGGTTCGTCTCAACGGCGCGAATGTTCTTACGTTATTGCGCCATCGATACGCCCCAACGGGGGAAGCAGAACCCCAAAACAAACTGTTGCCATGGGCCCCCATAGGCTAACATAAGCTAATGCGGAATGACAGAGACAGACCGCGCCCTTCGGCATCGCTTCGCTAATAATTCATGGAAAACTGTGAAAAACGCTACAAAATAAAGGTTTCTTATATTTCTTCGAGTCTTAAGTTTTCTTAGGTTTCTTAGTCTTCTTAGACTTCTTAAATTTTCTCAGAATTATTCTCACATTCTTAGTTTTCTTGGGTTTCTTAGGGTTTGTTAGGTTACTTGTTTTGCTCAAATTATATTTCCAGTTTTCTTGAGCGGCTGAAATCAACCTTCGTCGAACTAGTGCACGACACAAAATTTGGTGCGGATGTAGATACCGTAAACTGGTTATATGAATACTGTACATCTCTTGCAGGTTTTCGGCCTCTCCTCTTTGTTACCTATGTTCTCGGCTTCCACTGAGCCGATTTTGCAGCTTTAAATTTTTACAGAATCTTTTCAAAACGTAGAGTAACACAAAGGTAGTGGTTTTTCTACTCTCACAAGTAGAATAAGCCCAGTGGTCACTCAAAGGCTTGTTGCAATGGATGCCATAGGGCTAACATGCGCTTGTTTTTCACCACGGGCAGATTAGGGTTAAACAAGAAACAGCTTTGGCTTCGCCTCTGCGTTTTTTGTGGACCACATACCGAGTGAACGAATGATTCAGTCAGTTTTAAAATAAAATGAAAACTAGCAGCCGTTCTAAAACGAAACAAATTTTAATGGCGAAAAGTCAACATTTGAAGAACCGGGCATCAGATTTTTGGCCTAATCGACCTCAACTCATAAGAAAAAGTGCAAACTGGTAACGTAATATATAATGCCAGTAAACGTCCGCTTGTTGACTGGTCACTAATCTAAATGCAGAAACAGGAAAATTTTCAGCTGATACAAACGCAAGTTGACCGCAGAGCATTCCCTGTCACCAGTTAAATCTAATAAACCGAAGGCGATCTGTTGTCTTATACTCGTATTAAAATTAAATGGTTTCAAACAAATTCATAACTGCTGTTAAATAGCCACTGCTTCCTCGAATACAGGCATAACTGCTAACTATGAAAATCATAACTACTGTCTCCTCGAACACACTGCAACGTTTGAATTTTAAACAAGGTGTGTTTGCCCAGTCGTAAGCCAATAATCATCCGTGCTCAGCTTGTACTGTATGTACAGTCTGTACTATAATATTTGTATTGGGCTGCTTTGTTATTGTTCAACATGCACTTTGTTTTCCACCGTTTTAGCTTTTAGTCTTTAGGGTGAGCTTTTTAAGCTTTTAGCTTTTACCGATACTTTACCTATACTTTTTTCACCTTTTAGCTTTTGAGCTTATTTTTTTTCAGTCGGTGTCACACTGTCATGTATTGAACGAAAGGCATAATCTTTTATTATGTCCGCTCGGGACAGCAGCAAACAACCAACTAAACATTAGACATGGCAACAATAACGGACAACAACAATACCGTTGCTACGGCACATTAGCCATAAGCCATTATCCATTTCACGAGATACTCCGTACAATCTTTGTACGAGTACAACATACACTACAGTCGGTCCAAAGCTTTTATTTCCAGAATTCCTAAATATTTCGACTTGGCCCCGCGCAGCGGGGCCGTTACCGCTAATTTTTTGAGCCTCCAGAATTTTAAAATTATAAAAATATCTAAAAATCTGAGTACCTCAATGTCTCATGGTTTGAAGTGTCTATATTACATATCTAATTCCTAATTTTAAAAGCCGGCCGGCGCCCGTTTAGTGTATTCACTCACGTAGCGACTCTGTGATACTGGTGGTATCTTGGGCATTTACTAACCTACGTTGCTTGTTAAACTGGTGGTAGCTTGGGTATTTAATAACCTCTAAATCTAATAAATATTCAATTATTTTTATTTTAATAAATACTGAATGACTGAAAATCTCACAATTAGTCGCTAAAAATGCTGCCTGGAGGTCACCTTGAGCAACTGTTAGTTGTTTCCCACAAGTTTTCATTACTGTAGCCGCTAGACCAGATTGCACCACAGAGTCTGGTGTACGGAAAAATGCAAGGCCACTATACACACATTGCACCCTGCAACATTATTTGGTATTCTGCTTTTAATTTTTGAAGCCATTGCTTGGTGAACTGCTCTGGATGGGAGAAAAGCTTTATTTACTTATGGGCAACAAAAATTTAAAGAAATGACAAGTTCAGAGCTCTGATATAGTTTTGTAAACCTGATTTGTTGTGGTTTTTGGGGTGCCCCTGACAGGGGCAGATGTTTCAGAATTCAGCTGGCTTTAATACATTAAAATCAAAAGGTACCGTGTGCGCCGCCCGGTGGGAGGAAGACTCGTGCTGAATGCCCGGCCAGTGGCAGGCTACGGCTGGATCTAAAAGTGGTGCAATCTGGTCTAGCGGCTACAGTACCGTAATTCTGCGCTGAAATATCGGGTTAATGGTTTTTTATGGGCCTCGTGTAAATGATCCCATTCAGTCCATTTTATCACCGTTTAAATGCTGTCTGTTGTAGCAAAAAAATCAAGTTATGCAAAGTAATACAAAATCGGCAATACGAAGTTACATTAAAAACGAGAAAAGGACATACAAAAAAAAATTACGGACGTTTTCATCGAATTTAACCGGAAAGCTATCCGAATTTCTACGTGTTTAATATTTTTTCGTAGCTGGCCTCGCTGGGCTTTTACATTTGAAATATTTCTAAAAACTATTTTATTGCTGTACGAAGTGTATTTTGTATTCTCATTCATGATTCCATACCTCGAACACAACTGGTCGCGCGCTAGCGCGACCGATACTTGTATCTGTATAAGATTACGAAATGGCTACGCGCGAGAGCCTCCCGCGCTATGAGTATTGACTACGCGCGAGTGTTTTTTCCCGCACAAAAAAAACTACCAAAAAGCAGTTAAAATCAGTGTGTTTATCACCACATGGCAACCAATAATTACGGAAGGTCACCAGATTCAAAACGCCAACTACGCCCGGGAGGACGAAATGCGCCGCTGGTTTTTAACCATCATCGAAACCGGCACATTGCCGCCTCCTCCAAGATCACAAGGTCGTAATCCTCGAACGAAAACCACGGTGAAAGATCATAACTGCACAGTGACAGCAGCAGATACGGTGGAACTACGCCGGCGGTTGCATCTGCCCAGTGGATACAGAACAGTTTCGCTGTGAAAATGCTCACATACTGAATGGCACAATAACTGTTCTGTTTCTAACTTCATTACCTTAAGAAATGATAAATTTGACGTACCTGGACGTGTGTTCGAAAAATGATACAAAAAACCGTACAATTCCCAGTTTTTGCCATAACTGGCGGTCGAAAATATTCCGTAAGATATTTTCGCGCGGTTTTGTTTTCTCTTAAACGTTTTGTTCGTAGTTTTCTTGTGCGGGGAAAAACTCTCGCGCGTAGTCAATACTCATAGCGCGAGAGTATTCTCGCGCGTAGACATGACCATAAGATTATGGTTAACCGGTGCGCAGGGCAGAGATTTTTTAACACGAAATACCCCTCGAAGGCGTATGCTTCACGTACTGTAGTTACACAGCCAGTCAGCCACCACACTTTGTAAGTTTCCTATAATCTGGTCTTTTATCTGGTATTTTGGGGTATTTTCGTTAGAAGTTTTTGTTGCACGGCAAACAAAATTATCTTTATTGCTGATACAGAACATTCCCAACAAAGAAACGTGTTTTAACCACATGATTTTTGAAGCTCTTTAAAGGCTGGTGAGAAAATTTTCAAAAGGTCTGCTTGCGGATTTCACGATGACCAAATGTGTGGTCTCTCACCTATCCCGCTTTTTGTCCGAACACGCCCACAATGATATCGAAGTTTTTTACAGTATACAGTAAAGAAAAACAATCCCTCTATCGGAAATACGTACTTCGTAGCAACGTTATATACTGTACTGTAATCGATTTCGTTTAAGAACAGCAATTTTTAGCTGTTACTGGGTAAAACTGGCGTTTTTGTTTTCTAACCATCTTCCAACCCACCCTGTTTTTAAAAAAGCAGCTTATAAAACCGTCAAGCGGGCCGCGGCGAAATGTCGCGTGCCGCTGCCCAAAATCTGGATTACAAACGCTATGCAGTCCGCAGCTCCCATGTTACCTGCCATTTGTCGGTGGTCACCCCTTCCCCTATATTGCGCACCATGAAAAACTGAAATATGGCAGAAATGATGATCGGCCCCAAGCATCTTTTATACGGAGCTGCTGATCGCAGAATGTGAGTAATCCATATCCTGATAACATACTCAAAGCGATAATCTTTAAGCCACACCGAAATATTATCAACAAGAGCTAATTAATCGGGAAACAAGTAGTTTTGTACTGCTCGGTGCGCGCCAGCGCCGTCACGTAACTAATATAGTTAATCTTCTGTTATTACTGCAAGATGAGTGAGTACTTCTCGGTTGCCAGCTGCTATCGTACGATTCAACACAGACTGCAGTGCGAAACGCAAACCATAAATATCGCACAGCAGTAGAAGATTATCGGCTTGTAAGATTGTAGCAAAATTAACAAATCCCTTATAAGGCGCATTCGCTGGAAGTACAAATGTGTAATCCGGAATTCGTCAGATTAACGTACCTATTCATAGAAAGCTCTGAGCGCTGTATTCCCGAAACTTGCACCAAGAGAGAACATGATACTGATGATATGAGCGCAAGGGTCGGCTAATCTTATCATGCTGTTCAATGGTGAGTGACTTGCGTTGCATGAATAATGCATAGTGAAAGAAGGATCGTATAAACAAATAAGATTTTAGTCGTTTTACTAATAATACATTTGTATTTCCCGTGTAATTTACAAGGGTATTCTGAGCCCAAACACAGCTGTTTTTGCAGCCCGCATGAAGATTCAATACTCTGGCTCAGACTGTAAAGGTTGCTGGAAATTTGCACGCAAGCATAGGCTATTTTGTCTTTCATGGGTATAATTCCTTCCCATCCCAAGGTCGAGAGTTTTGATACTACGGGTAATGGATGTTTTTCCTCAAAGGCAACGATTTACTTACCATTCTTAAGTTGACCAGCATGCATGTACCGTATGTATTACTCGTTACTCCGTTATTCACAGGTTTTGCCGTTCCATCCAAGAAACGAAATGATCCAGTGTGGGAATACCGAGAGCGCTCACCCGAATCTCATTTAGAGTACATGGAAAATTACTTGCACGAATATGGTGCCATTATACAAGCATGGGAAAATGGAAAAGGACTAAACTCAGTCGGCGAGTGGAACATTAAGGTTCAAAAATGGAAGGAAATTGATCGGGTTCATAGAGGTGCTGCTCTTACGCATAACGCCACAATCAGCGAAGATGGTGTTCCACCAGTAAACCCTCTTCGAATGACGTCAGGTGCCAAGCAAGATGAACCGAAACATGCTCTGGTTGCGGCTGATGCTAATGAAGCAAAAGCGTTGGAAGAAGGCCTTAATGATGCATGGGGACATGTTGTGGAAGCAGAGAACAAAGTTCTTGAAGCTTTGGATACCTATTGCAGACAGTTAGATGCCGCCCGTATCTTTATACGGGCATGTGGTAGCTGTCCCTACAAAGGATCATTCTACGGAATTATTTGTCAAGTTATTGCTTGTTACTGCCTAACCGAAGCAATCAAGCCAATCGAAATGGATGCCAGTTTTATAGAAAATTTACTTTCAGAGGTTGCACGTTTGAATGCGTTAGAGGAAACCGGTCAAATGATAAAGGACAGACTGGAAATTATCATTACTGAGCATCTCCTGCAGGTAAGACATAGGTACAAAGACGTTTTTGCTTGCTTTGAATTTCAATTAGACTGGACGGCTCTGGGATGTTTCGCTTTTGCTACCACTCGAGGTTTAAGGGCTTTTAAAATAAGATAAATGCTAAAGTTGGATATAAGGGTATTATACCCTGGGAAAGCTATGACGTCTTCGCTGACGTCATTCGATCCAGTTTTTTTTCTGAGTCGAATGGTGATGATCTTTTGGGAGGAAAAGGTCATCCTAAAGAGATAGCATTTTACAATGGACGACAAAGTTTACTTAACCTCGGAACCGGTTTTTCGGCTTTAGCCATGTATGCAAGTGAATGAGAGAACAGAGACAGAGAACAGAGAGCACACGGTTGCCGCGCTTACTGCTCAGTCAGCGGATACAGCGATGGATATGCGGCGCTAATTGATCGTATGCGCTGTAAGATGACAGCGGCTAACGGTCCAGAGTTAAGTAAATTTTGTCGTCCATTGTATATACTGTTTTACCATCGGTCTTGTAGTTTTCATCACTTTTTCCGGCTCGGAAGTTTTTCGACTTTTCTATATCCTAAGAATCAAAGCCAAAAAAACCTAAGAAACCTAAGAAACCTAAGAAAACCTAAGAAAGAAACCCTAAGAAGCCTAAGGAAACCTTAAAACTATTGGTAATACACCATATAAAAGCATCTTACGGCACGACCGTTGGATGACCTTTTCCTTTATTACGCGTATTCCTGACTGTGCATGAGTGATTTTTTTCGAAATACCATGTATTTCTTGGAAAATCAGCTTATTTCTGACTAATTAAATTTTGCAAAATTATAACGGTTAAAATTAAATAAACAGTTTTCAAGGATCACCAAAGGGAGGCGCAGTTGGAATCGCCCGTTTTAACAGCACGATTTGGTTTAAATTTTGAAAATTTTGAAAATTTCTGCTGTTTTCGTTCACTTTTTCCTCCACCTGCAAAACATAAATCCTGGAAAATAATTAACTACAGAAATCGGATCGGAAACACCCGTGAACCTCGAAAGTGAGTCGAAACGTATCTGCATGTGCTCTAGATCGGGAAATTTTACTGCATTGGGGGTTTGGAAGCCAGTGGGCACACTGGGCGCGTCTAACGATGGCGGTTAAAGGCTTATGCTGCAACCAGCTGTTTTATGTGAAGTGCGAAATGCATTTGCATGCCAGTAGTAACCTTTGGTTCTTGTTCATAGATAAGCAAGGATACTTCACAGCTCTCAAGTACGCATTTTATTCTGTTGTTGTCAACTTTATGGGAATTATTGCGCAATCTTTTGATTTGTGTACAACCGGTGATTCAAACCCAGGTAAGTCAAAATTGCAACATTTATATCGAAAATGCGCACCGTCTCCCTACCAATAGCAAGCACAATGAATCAGTTTTATTCCAGAAAACCGCCAACGACATAACCTTTCAGCCCGATGTTGAGCCAAAATTGGTTTTTGGCGATCAAGTGGTCCGCAATTTTATCCTGCACGATGAGAAAATTCGTAATAAAATAAGTTTTGCTATCGTGGGTAGTAGACGACGCCACATTCTAGGCAACGAGTGTCATCTGCTGCTGGGACAAGACATGCTATTGCAGCTTGGAGAGGGAAAGTCATTTGTGTACGAGGCAGTTTGTACGAATCAGGATGCACGCTTCTATGCACAACTCTTGGTAGGCTCAGGGTGCAAATAAAATATCTATATCTGAATGCATCTGGTTTAGAGACCGGTTAAATTTTTCCAGGATCTCGTGAAAAGTTGTTCCGCACAGAACCGAGGCCTAAAGGCGATAGAAGCTCCCGACATCCAGCTTGCCGAACACGCGGGCGGAAGTAATAACGGTTATCGAGAAATCCTCTTATTTGGTAGCAGCTGTCGATACAGTTACGAGAACAAGAAATTTCTTGGCGCCGGAAGCTTTGGAACTGTCTACGGAGCCACCTTAACCGATAGCGACAATTTGTCCGAAAATGCACGGAATATAGCCGTTAAGGCAGTACGTTTGAGGCACGATATATTAGAAGACCCTGTGAAGTGGAGAAAATTTTGCCGAGGACTTAGCACTTTGTTAGAACTCAAGCATCCGCACTTAGTGAAATATCATCAAGTCACCGCCAGCAGCGTCGCTCACATTGAAATCATGATGGATTACTGTGGTATGTCGTATTTCATCAACTAGTGAACCTCCCCGCGGTAAAAGTCTACTCCGAACAATGAATCCACTGGATGGTCTTCATTTCGGGGTAGCAACCTTTAAAAAATGTTTCTCAAAACGGAAACCTCATCCATAACCCTTACCGGAATGTGGTAACGCGGGGTCACTAACTGCTAAAATGCGGCCAGTCTTTTCTTCGTTCCTTGGTTGTTACACTGACGATGTCCATTTGCAGATAGTGACCTATCGAAGTACCTCGTGACAGCTAAAAACCAACTGCAATACGACACGACTATTTGCTTCGTTGGTCAAATTGCCGCTGGGTTGACCTATTTGCATTATAACAGTATTATACATGGAGATTTGAAGCCTGGAAACATTCTTGTACGGCACACTCAAGAAGAATGCCGATTATTTATTGGTGATCTTGATGATAGCGTGGTTATGCAACGGATGATGACAAGTTCAGACGACGTGGACGAAATACGTGGCACACTTCCTTATATGGCCCCAGAAATTCTAAACAAATTCATTGCCCAGTCTGAAGATGATAATATTGTACCCGGACGAAAATCAGACGTATGGAGCTTTGGTTGCATTGCTCTGGATTTGGCGAATTTTTATTCGGGAATTGACAAAAGCAATCCAAAAATCCAAAAAATTAGAAATCGGGCCACAGGTGTCAAAGCTCCAGTTTATAAAGTTGATTGTCGCTGAGGGTTTCGTTCCTAATGTCGATGATTCTACACCGGCAGCTCTTGCAGAATGCATTCGAAGCTGTTTATTCGTAGAGAAAGATAGAAGAGGCTCTGCTTCCGAAATGCTACAATTCCTTCGCGAAGGTAAATTTCTGAATGGTAAAGTCGTTTCCAGAAATCGTTAATAAACGTTAATGCATTCCAGAGCATTTTTTCTGGAGAAGAAAAACTGGGCTTGCCAGGGTAAATCAAATGGGTTTGACCGACGTTTAACACGATCTCACAGATATTATTGTGTTTATTATTTCTTGGTACTTTGTTTAGGTGACAAAGGGAATATCTGATGGCTTCTTCTGAATTAGAAGTATCTGGTTTAATGCCAACGAGCGCGTGTAGCCGGCAAGAATGTTAACATGTTCACGGTTCACGCTGTGAGCATATTTGCCGGGCGAAAATGCTCACGAATGAAATCATGCATGTCGTGTGCTGATTTACTCTGCATCCTATCTGGAATTAAATATTCCTATATTCTCAGTACCAAGGATGGCTTTAATGGATTGGGACATAACACGTCGGTAGCATAAAAATTAGTCTTTCATAAATATCGGTGAATTTATCATTAAGTTTTGAAGCAATGATTAGTGTACATTGGCTTGTTAGCACTGCAATAACGCATTTTATGTTTTATAGCTTTCGACTAACTGTTTTCGTGGACCGGTAATATCGGGAAAGATAATAAATTATGTTATTGCTTTTCGAATCCAAATGCTCTTCGATCTGCCGTTTCGCTTTGTAAATCATTAAAATAAAAGCTTAAATGTCGAAACTAGCAAACGTGAGCGTCCCTGCCTGTGGTACGTTTGTTCTCAAACTACTACTATATGGTCACAGTGGTGAAGGTCTGTAATATGGATCATGAAGAGCTTACGCTTTTTTATTCTACAATATGGGCACTGGACAAACACGAGCTTCGCTCGCTGAAAAAAAATCAAATGAAGAAATTATCTCAATTACAGATATCACGAGATGTGACTGTACAATAAGTCATCACATACAACCACGAGAGCAACAACATCGCCTATTATCTCAGCAATCTGCTTGCTGCCAGAGCTGCTAGTATCAGCGGTATCCGATTACCACGCCGTCTAACAAAATTAATAACAAGCATTTTTGCCGGGCACCCGTGTTCACGAATTACAATAACATCTCGGCGCTTTCCCCAAAAAAATGCAGGTGTAGAAATAAAACGAATATTTAGAACTGAAAACAAGTATACACTTAACCATATCCCTGACCGGCACCAATGTTCACGAGTGGGCAAATGTGGGCAGTAATAATCCGATTTACTGTGCGGATCTTACCTACAAGCTTAAGTGTGAGCGCTTCAGCCCGGCAACCATGTTCACAAGTGCGACGCAGCATTTTGATAATTGTCGTAGTATTACAGCAAAATTATAACAATCAGTAAAAGCGCATTAATTATATGAATCCAGCAATATAGTCAGCCCACACAGTGAATATGCGCTTTTCCCAGTTATGCGGTAAATGCATAGTATGCAACAGTTGCATGTAACATCTTCACATAACGAAGCTTTTAGTTGTTGCTTGTTTTTACTTCGAAAAACCGAAAATTAACGGACAAAAAGTTTTGTGACATTTGTAAGCATTTCCCACTTTTCCACTTTGTATATCGTATTTGTAAGCACGGCCGCCGGGTATACTTACGTTGTAAGACTGTGCGATAATCTGATACCACCAACATCTTCGTTCTCGTATGCAAATAAGACCGTGAACAAGGGTGCCGGGCGGGGATGTTCACGTTTGTGAGCACGCGTGCCGGGCGGGGATGTTCACGTTTCATCACCGGCAGCGACCTGTTTAATAACTTTATTTTAAAAGCGCATCTTGCGAAGTTGTTACCCGTTACGTCATGGTTTTTACTCGCTGCATCTTGCGCGTTGCTTAAGGGAAGTAAGTATTCCGGCACATCCCACAAATGCGTGCACATGCACGAAAATTTTCTTTCGCACAACTCTGTTGAGTTATTAACGTTGATGCTGCTCCTAAACCTAATTTTTACCCTCGGCCGTTAATCTTTGCGAGGATTTTCGGGATATTGGGCTTGTGGTGAAAAGTGAATAGTGATTAAAACATTTTTAAATTTTAATGTGTAATTACATATAATAAAACGCTGACTATTCGCTCCGCAACCGCTTAGCAGCTGCTGCTCATATTTATGACTTATGAGTCGTATTATGGTGCAGATGTTTTTTTGGCTCATAAATGGTAACAAGCCGACTAGAATGAGCGGAATTCCTTGCAAACGTGAACATCTCTGCCGACACCCTTGTTCACAAATACGTGGTGCAAAAAGTGGACATCCAGCAAAACAAGTCATAACAGCAAACAACGGGGTACAGAAGTCGTCAATATGCGATGTCTAAAGTAATTAGAATACAAACAAAAGGCCTACTCTCGAAATTATTAGACAGGCCATTAAGCGGCACGCGTGTCCACAAACGTGAGCTATCCAGCCCGGCACCCATGTTCACGATGGCAATACACGGCATCTCTCTTCTTAGAGCCACAAACAGTACGAGCGCCTCTGATCTTTTTCCATCTGCACTGTTTGTGCATGTACTGTGAAAGCGGCTTTAAGAAGAGATTATACTGATTTCGACCTCTTTTGACTATTCCCGCTGGCGCAATGCGTGCGCTTGTGCTTCTTCATAACTACACATCTGACCTAGCGCTATGGTATTTTGGCTACATACATTGAAAGTCTGAAATTGGTTAGACAATTTTAAAATGTTAAAGTCACTGATCAAAAGCAGTTAACAGTTTTCCGGAAGTTTTCCGGAAGCAATAACAATTCAAGGAGATTTTTGAAATTTTTCTTCCAAGCGTAGCGATGTGTTCCGCTAAAATGACTAAAGTTCTGTGGAGCGTTTTTTCCAAAAAACTGAACCATTCTTGAAAAAAACTAACTTTTTTACACTCAAAGTTACTTTCTTTTATTTTTTACAAAATACGCAAACATTTTTCACAAAAACGCTCCACAATTCTTCTTGAAAATGATTTATCTTAAATCTGATCAAATGTCAGAATTTTCTGACATCTTTGAAAATTGTTATTGAGTTTAGAAGTCAATTTTGGAAAATTTTTCAGAAAGTGGCGAAGAACCTTCTTTTGTTCTGCGCGTTCCTTTGGTCTTACCGATTCTGCGCTTGCAGTGCCGCCACACTGATTGTGTGCACAGTGAAGAGTGGACTTTGGCCACTCTTTCATGTGCACTCACGGGATAGCGCTACGTGTTTCCATTGTCTAGCGCCTTTGTTATGCTGTGTTCGTCCTCACTGTGTAAACATGAGCCTTGTCTGGTCCTATTACACTTACAATCTGGCATGGAATATAACAGCCACAAGGCATATTCCAGATTGAAGAAAGCACATCTCGGTGCAATCTTTCTTTCACGAATTTTGATCACAGGTGGCAGTACTGTAGAAAGATACGTTAGCCCGCCAAATTGCTCCTGGTCGGCAACGAAAAAACCTATTCAAGTTTTTTCGTTGTTACCTGAATCTACTCAACTTTCGCCCAGTGATAGATGTAACTATTCTTTTTCCACTGTCGAATTTTGAAAATCTCAGTTTCAGTCTTGCTACCATAGTATAAATTCTCCTTAATTAATCAGCGGTATCCGATTACCGCACCGTCTCACAAACGTAATCATTCTGCCTGGCACCCATTTTCACAAAATTTTCAAACCCATGTTCACAAAATGCAAGACAGAATGACCTCAATAATATCGAGGAAGTGTTTTCGACTTTTATTTTTGTTTTAATACTCGTACTAAGATTGTATATGCGTTCTTTCGTGTGATACTTATTAAAAGTAACTAAACCAGAATGTATCATATGGGCGGTGATAGTCATATGCTCTCAAGGGAAGTTCACAATCATGATTTTTCAATATTCAGATGCATTGATGATTAATCGTCAATATTATCTTTACGTTTTACACCATAAGAACAGAAGCAATTTTGGTTAAGATATTGTGCCACTTGAGCCAAATGCGTAGAGTATTATTATGTTGTCCAACGTGATATAAAAAAAAAGAAATCACTGGTAGAGGTCATCTGTTCTTAAGAGGTGTGCGAAAGAAAGTTTTCGTGCATGTGTACGCATTTTGTGTGATGTACCGGACCACTTACTTCCCTTAAGCAAGGCGCAAGCTGCAACGCGTAAAAACCATGACGTAACGGGTAACGATTTTGCAAGGTGCGCTTTTAAAAGTTATTAAACGGGTCGCTGCCGGTGATGAAACGTGAACATCCACGCCCGGCACGCGGGCTCACAAACGTGAACATCCCCGCCCGGCGCCCATGTTCACGAGTGTAATATATATGAACCGCCTGCATGTAGCCACGAAGAGTAAAAGCGCGTCTGATCTGCATACTAGAGCGGCAAATGCTAATTAGCGGTATCGGATTACCGCACTGATCTTACAGCGTGAGAGCATACCCGTAGTGCATATGAAACCGCGTACCACATAATACGCGGCTTCATATGCACTGCGGCATACCCTGCCCGGAGTCCGTACTCACAAATGTGATGCACACAATAAAAAAGTTAGCAATGCTTACACAATACAAAATAATGTACTTTATTTGTCGGTTATTCGAAGTAAAAACAAGCAACGTCTGCTTTATGTGTTGCACAAAATTGCTCACTACAAGATTAGAACGCAGCGCGTTTTCTATAGGCACAGAATACCATGAAGAACTGAAAAAAGTACTGGTTCATACAAAAGTGTCCAGATGTGAATTCCCATGCTGTGTATGTAAAGAAATGGCCGGTGTACGGGTTACCTGAACTGTGACAAAACCATTTTTTTGCAACAAAACGATGTGATGAAATTATTCTACAACCAAATTATATTTAAATACTGGTATCTCGAAACCCTCCGTGCGCGCAACATCCGCTTGGTAAAATACAGGGAATGGAAATTACCATATAAAAAATTTAAACGGCTAGTTGTGTACTGAAAATAGAATTTTACTTTGCTGTCTGGCGATTTTACTGCGAGTGATAAACATGTACACAGACGATTTTGAATTAAAACCTGTTCCGTCGTTTTTCCCAACTTTTCACTGATATTTTTTTAAACGGAAAAATGTCATGGACCTTGTTTTTGACCCAATAAAGGCATTGTTGGGGACAGCCTGACTGAAGGCAGTACGCCAGTACAAAACATATTGTTTCGTCGTGGGCGAAAGGATCAAGTGTCAGAAGATGTACACGCACTTAGTGCGAATGCCATGATATTTACCATAATTGTTTTTTTTTCAGCCAACCTGTATTTTCAGCAGTGGAAACTCATAATTACAACCTTTTCTGATATACGGTGTCTCATCGTTTTGCAGTAAAAATCTCCATAGAGAAAGGATGATATCCTTCGTGAGCATTTTTGCCCGTCAAAAATGCTCACAAGCATTTTCGCCCGTCAAATATGCTCACAGCGTGAACCGTGAACATGTTAACATTCTTGCCGGCTACAAGCGCGAACTCGTTATTCTGTTTGCACACTTTGACAGATGAATAGCTTTACAGGGGGGCAGGGTGTAAAACCTGGCAGTGGCGCTTGCCAGTGGCTTTGCCAATGGCATGGCAAGAGATAGAACCTGGAGACTCTGGCAACTGGCAAACGATAAAACCTGGCAGATGCCGCATAAAATGTGGCACCATATGTAAGAAGGTTCGGAGTGTTTACCACG